ATAAATAAATAAATAAATAAATAAATAAATAAGAGTGTGCCAATGAACAGAAAAATAAATAAATGAATGAATAAATAAGTAGGAGTACATGCAAATGTTAACCCAAGATGCTTGTGAGAAGACTGGAAAGAACAAGAATGTTGCTGGCAGCCTATCTACTGGTACAGAAAGGTGTAGAGGGTATACTGAAACCTGGTGACCATGAGAAATGAGATGTGGGAATATCCACTTGCTGTTTACCTCCCAACATCTGTTCTGAAATAATATATAATGCCCTACAAGAAAGTGCTTTTGAGGGGGTGGTACTGGGGATCGAACCCAGGGCCTTACATTTGCTAGGCAAGTGCTCTGCCACTGAACTACACTCAATCCAAGAAAGTGCTTTTCATCCTGTTGTTCGAGCCAGTCTGGGAGGGAAAGAGTCTGGACATATTACTGGTGACCCAGTGAAGCAACCATGGCTCACTGTGAACTCTTAGGCCACCGCGTAGAAGTAGAAGTCTCTAAGTACTTTCACTCAAACCCTAGCCTCTCCCAAGTCCTCTGTCCCAATTGGCCATAACTGTGAATTCCATTCAGAAGCTCTTTCTGATTCCCCACCCAAACATCCTGGCGGCCATCATCTACCTGTGCATAGCTCATGGTCTCCATGGTGCTGTCATAAGCAGATCGCAGAGAGGCGAAGTTGATCAGCACATCTACCTCCGGGTGCTTTTTCATGGCATCAGCCATGTTCTTAAAGACAGGGATTAGGATTTCTTTGTGTCCCCAGTAAAACTTCTGTTTGTGATCCCCACTGCAAGAAAGCAGAGGAAGGAGTAAGGCCACCTCCCATCCATCAGGTCTGGGGAAGGGGAAACTGAGTGGCGGAAACCCAAGAGAGGCAAGGTTGGTGTTCTCGAAGGTTCCCATCTGAGGGAAAATGGGCCCCCAGGAACATGGACTGTCCCAATCTCTGGTATGGGCAGATCCCTCTACTGTAAACACGGGGGACTAGCTGACACTGAAGCTTCATGTAAAGATGAGAATCTCACTGAGCCACTTCCTGGCATCCTGCCTTGGCATGACTCACGTGAAGGGGTAGACCATGGCAGCCACTGAGGGCTCATCTCGGGAGCACACGTAGTCGAAGTCCAGCATGCCTTGCACAGCCCGCGTCTGCATGCCCCACACGATAGCCTTGGTATGGCGGCTGAAGAGGGTGGCACTCTTTCCTAGTGGGCAAAGAGACATCGAGTGCACCCAGAACACACACCTTAGGACACCCACGGGGGCTGCCTGCCCGAATCCCCATGCTGCATGTCCAGTTTGGTAGCTCTTCAAAACAGCAAACGGATGTTAAAATAATAAACTCAGAGAAATCTGCCTCTAATTTTTCTAGGTGGAAGCAGCAGAGAGAGCTAAAATATCTAGTGCCTGGCTAGAGAATAGTCCCATGGTGAATAAAGGAGGCCCCACGGCTGAAGATGTCTGAGAGGATGCTTACAGGGCACGCTCAATGTCCCAGGTGACTATAGCTACAACAATATACACAGGTGGTCTGTGTACTTAATAAAATTTTATTTTCATTCTTTTGTGTTTTTAAATGCGTTTATTTTATATCTTAAGTGTTTTGTCTACATGTCTGTGTACCACAAGTGTGCCCACTGGGGCCAGAAGAGGGTGTTGAAGCCCCTGAAACTGGAGTTGCAGCGCCATGTGGGAGCTGGGAATTGGACCCAGGTCCTCTGGAAAAGCAGCTCTTATGAGCCATCTCTCCAGTTCCCTGTTTGTGTTTTGAGACAGAGCTTCACTCTGTTGCTCTGGCTGACACGTACCATGCTATATAGACCAGTCTGGCCTGAAAAATCACAGATAGCTGCCTGTCTCTCTGTCCCAAGCGCTGGGGATAAAGACTTATGTCACCACACCGGTTTTTGTTTATTTTAAGTTGTTTTTAATGTGTACACGTGTTTTGCCTGCACATAAATGCACCATGTGTGCAGTGCCTATGGAGACCAGAAAAAGGAATCAGATCCTCTATAACTGGAATGACAAGCAATTGTAAGCTACCACTTCAGTGCTGGGAACCAACCCATGTCCTCTGCAAGTCCTGAAAGGGCTCTTAACCTCTGAGCCGAGTCTCCAGCCTCAGCTGCTGTGTTTAAAGCAGGATCTCGTGTAACCCGGGCTGGCTTTGAACTCACTATGTGATTGAGGATGACCTTAAACTCCTGCTCTTCATGCCTCTGGCTCCCAAGTGTTGGTATTACAGGCACAGGCCACAGCACCAGGTCTTCTGACTTTATTTTCAGTTTTACTGAGACAGGATCTCACACTACAGCTCAGGTGGCCTGGAACTCACTAGACAGCCAGGGTCACCTGGCTATGCCAGCACTTCTGCTTCAGCCCTCTGACTGCTGGAATTACAGGTATGAGCCACACACCTATTTTTAAAGGCACTAGAAAAACGTTTAGCTCTCCCTATTTTGATGCCTGAGGACTTTACTCTCCCAACAGTGCTAATCAGCCTGTAAATCTAGACACAAACCCAGCAACTGTCTGTATTTGAAAGCTTACAAATTCTAGGTCAGCAGGTGAGGGGGTCCAGTGGAGAGACTTGGGGCAGGCAACCGGGGCTGAGGTCAGGACAGACTTGTCTCTCACTAAGGTTACAGACTGGGCTTGGACACTAGGCTGAGCAATGGTCAGCCAACATGGGGCCACAACCCTCTTTCCCCTATTCTTCCTATGCTCCTCATCTCCCAAGTGGCTCTTTGTTGCTCAGAACAACACTACTGAGACAGGCTTTCTAATGGTAGGAAAGATTAAAGAAGAGGGCAGCTGGGCATGGAGGCTCACACTTCTCATCCCAGCACTTGGGAGACAGAGGCAGGTAGCGATCTAGAGTGGGAAGCCCTGTCTCAAAAAGGGGGAAGGGGACATGACAACACAAAGGGGCTACTGAAACGTGGTCATTAGCTAGAAGGAAAAGGGTCCTTGCCGACCTTCCCCTTCGACTCCCTGAAAGTCCTAGGGGAGGAAAGCAGCCCTTGAGGGACACTCTGTGCTGCCCTGGGGAGAGCAATGCCTCTCACCCAGAGGCTTCTGGTATTAACCTCCTGTACTACTGCAAGCTTGGCTAATTAAGATCAAGGGCTGATTGAATCACTGTGCAGGCCAGCAGTAAGCCTCTCAGGTCAGAAGAGCTTGATTTGTGAATACCTGGGATTTACTGTCAACTGGAACCCAGGGTTCCTACAAGACATGGAACATTAGAGTGTGGGCAGCCACATAATCCAGTCTCACACTTTGTAGCCCCAGGAAATTGAAGCAGGAACTCACAATGATAATGGTCTTTGGAAATCTAGGAGAGCCATGATTACATGACTTAGAAAATCTCAATTGTGTGATAAAGAGGGCCACAAAGCAGTGGGGCTCTGCCACTCCCAGGGGAGTCTACACTGAGTCCAAGTACCTGCTACACATAAATCTGTCTGCAGAGATAAAAACAAAGGGCCCAAATCCCTACAAGCCCAACCACACTTCCTGATTTAAAGGGCAGAGCTCAAGTGCTTACCTCCTCAAGCACAGAAAAACAAAAGCTGAAGGGGCCATTGGCATCAGGAGCCGGAGGCCCCAGAGAACCTTTAAGGCCACCTAGGCGTGGAGAGCACTGTGCATGACCTGGTCTCCTCCTGGACCCACTCTTCTGTCCTCCCTCTTCTCCAGCTAAGTGGCCAGATAAAGGCCCCTCCCACAGCCCACTTCCCCGAGGGGAGAAGAGCTTCCCCAAGACTGAGTTTGTCCCGGTTCTATTGGCACACTGATCTTGCCTTCTAGGTAACAATGGATCTCAGAGGAGCTGGAGAGATGGCTCAATAGCTAAGAGCCGGTACTGCTCTTGAAGGGGACGTGACCAGTTCCCAGCACCTGAATCAAGAGGCTTACAACAGTTAAAACTGTCCACAACGCCAGTTCCAAGGGATCCAACACCCCCTTCAGGTCTCTGAGGGCACCTGCACTCACATGAACAACTCCATACCCAAACACACGCACAAGTTAAAATTAAAAATAAATCTTGCCAGGCGGTGGTGGTGCATGCCTTTAATCCCAGCACTCGAGAGGCAGAGGCCGGCGGATCTCTGTGAGTTCGAGGCCAGCCTGGTCTACAGAGCGAGATCCAGGACAGGCTCCAAAGCTACAGAAACCCTGTCTCCAAAAGCCAAAAAAAAAAAAAACCCAAAAAATCTTTAAAATAAAAAAGCTAAGCTGGGCAGTGGTGCTGCACACCTTTAATCTCAGCACTTGGGAGGCAGATGCAGGGGGGATCTCTGAGTTCAAGGCCAGCCTCCAAAGCTACAGAGAAATCCTCCCTCAAAAAAAGCTAGCTAGCTAGCTAGCTAGGGCTGCTGTTTAGATATTCCTACCCACCCTAGAGATCAAAGTCATCAATGAACTCTCTTGCACTTCCAGCCATGAATGTCAGCTACACGGAGAGGTGTGGTAGAGCTCTGCATGCAAGAAGGCTCTGAGTTTGATCCCAAGTACTGGGAAAAAGGCACAAGAAGTTCTGATGCTGGTAAATGAGTAATCTACTTGCTTGTCAATGGGCAAATGTATGTGTACGAGTAAGTGTATGTGCTGAGAATGTGCCCTGTAAACTGTGGCCTCAGACACCAAAGCCCAGATCCTTTCAGGTCTTAAAACAACCTGTTTTAGAGATAGACACCACCTGACCTTCCTGGCTTCTCTCTTTACATCTTTGCTCTTCGATGGAAACCTGGGAGAAATCTACACTGGTCTGGAATTGGGAGCCGTGGGATGCAGTTGTCAGTACTGAAGCTGAGGCAGGAAAAGCGAGGCAAAGATGAGATGCAGATGAGAATCAGGGTTGAGCTGTGGTTCCCTACAACAGCCAGCAGTCAGAGGCTCTTTGCCACTCCTCTTTCAGCTGGATGTTGCCCTTTCCCAGGAGCCTCCCTCCTGGTACCCCTAAGTCTCCACTGTGGGCTGCCTCTTGCTCCTTCTTACATCTCCACCTCCCTCCAAGGTAAGGAGCCAGAGACAACCACACAGTGAAGAGAGTGCTGTGCTAGGCAAGTAAGTACTAAGTAGGATAGGGAAGGGATAAGGAGCAAAGACTAGGACTTGGGGGTGGGGGCAGGCCACACCAAGGTGGGGATAGAAAATATACTACACAACACTGCAACCCACCAGGGAAGGAAGAAACAAAGCACACAGAGAAACTGGAACCCACTAACAAAGCCGCACGCAGAGTTGGGGCAGGGTCGGGGCATCCTACCTTGCAGGGATCTTGGACTTGGGACTGAATCTGTTAAAGAAAATGACCAAGGAAACTGCGTGAACTGGTGGGAGGCTTTGGTGGGAGCGCAGAAACAGTGGACAGTCCCACAGACAAGCCTTCCGGTGCTGTCACTGAATAACGCCAACTGAAGAGGCAAAAGCACCAGTGGGCAGAACAGAAGCAAGCAAGACAAAGAATTGGGGTACAGAGAGAGGGCAAAAAGAAGAAGGCTAGGCAAGTGTACTGAACACTGAAACCTCCTCCGGGCCCTCCAGGTGACATACTTCCATCTGGGCCTCCAGGCCGGCTGGGTCATACCCTCTTAATGCCAATCCCTCTATCCTCATGCAGCCTAGTATGATGATTAAACCAGCACGGTGCTGGGTCCACTATTCCCCGCTGTGGACAAAGGTGATACCTTGAAGACTGCAAGGCAGAGACTTCTAATCTTGAGTATCTACTGTCATGATTTCTAAGATGTCCTAGTCCAGCTTGACTGTATGACAAAGAACTGCAAGGCTGTCAGCCAGGGGAAGCCAGTGTCACTCATCTACTGCTCGTGTGAGTGCTGGCAGGTCAGCTGTCACTGGGATGGAGATAAACTAGGTGGTGTGTGCAAGGGCTAGGAGACAAGGGTGCATAGAGAGAAGTGTATTAAGAGCCCCTAGCTGGTGGGGGAAGACAGACGACTGTTGAGCTAGCTTTGCTGTCTCCACCCCCCAGCTGCTGTCTTTTATGTAGGAGTCAGAGAACATTCCTCTTCCTGGTTTTGCTGAAATCCTCCTATCTCCTCCCAGTTCAGTTCACAGCCCCAGAAGAGGGGTAGAAGATGGAAGGGAGGGAGCTGATCCAGGCAGTGTGGATGCTCAGCTGCAGAACCCACAGGGAAGTCACTTCATCCTCATGAGAGCCACTCCCACTTCAGGCTGAGGCCCAGTCCTACGCCAAGCTCGAACTCCTTCCCTGCTGCCTCTTCCAGACAGGCCCCAGACAGGGAGAGACAGGAAGGACACCAGAGACTGTTTCATGCACTGTGCTAAACAGCTGGGAGTTACCTTGGGGCATGGCTGGTTTGGCTTTCTTTGCAGGTGCCACTTCATCAGCTCTGGACTCAGAAAAAGACGCTGTCCGGCTGGGTGCTGGAGTCTTGAGTAATATAAGGAGAGAACAGGGTTAAGGGTCAAAGGTAGTGTCTGAAGACAAGAGCCACTGGTCCTGAATGCCCCAAGGAATGAAGTAACCAGAATTACACACAGCATTGTTTTTCTTTTTCTTTTTTGGTTTTGAAACAGGTTTTCTCTGTGGCTTTGGAGGCTGTCCTGGAACTAGCTCTTGTAGACCAGGCTGGTCTCGAACTCACAGAGATCCACCTGCCTCTGCCTCCCGAGTGCTGGGATTAAAGGTGTGCACCACCACTGCCTGGCTACTCAGCATTGTTTTAAGACAGAGTCTCAAGATGTACATCCCATGCTAGCATGGAACCCACAACAATCCTCCTGCCCCAGTACAGCTGTGCACTAAACCTAGCTCAATAGTGTTCTTCATAAACTGCACTTGGAAAGCACTACTACAACAATGCCAAAACAGAATTGATTTTGTTCCATGCTGCAGATGAGCCAACAGAGGCCCTAGTGGCTAAGGCACCTGTTCAAGTCCCACTCTCTTCAAGGACAGTCAGGATTTGAACTCGGGTTGGGTTTTAAAACCTTTAGTCTTTTCATTACTTTACCTTGACTGAAGCATAACCATATACCAGCACTCCCAGCATCTCCCTATTCCCCTAAACACCAGAGGAGGAACAGTGTCCTGTGTAGGACAGTGAGGGATGGAGGTGAGGTGGTGCCTTCCTTTAAGGTGGGAGGAAAGCTATCCATCACTTACCGATGTGCTCCCACTGGCATTAAGGAGGAAGTTGGCAGTGTGAGCCGCTGTGGGTGGCTGGTTGGGAATGGGCCGGTGGCCCAGGGCCATGCCCACAATAGCCGTCATGTGAGTTTCTGTGCCAAAGACATGGATGGGGATTCCAGTGGTCTTCCCTGTGAGAGAAGGAAAAAGCCTGTGATTCCAGACCTGGAGTAAGGTGCCTTGTCCACAGGACTCTGCAGGGCCCCTTGACGGGCTTGTTCAAAGCCTGACACTGTAAGGGCAAGACTGATTATCCAAGACAAACCAGCTATCTAAAATTTCACCACCAAACCAGTCTTTCGAAAGATTGCCTATTGACAAGGAGAGGAAGCAGCATCGGTCACCGGCAGGCAGGTGCCAGAAGGGTATTAGCACGCACCTCTGAACACCTGGATCCCAGCTTGCCACACTCCTCCGTTCTCCACCATGCCCACCTCTCTGGCCTGGTTTCTCTGTTTCTAAATACTCTTAGCTGGCTCCCCTGAGGCACTGGCCTTGCTTCTACACAGAGCCAGCACCTTCACCTGCTGCTCCTCCATCCCTGAGCTCAATGGAAGTGCCAGCTGCTCACCTCCCTAGGCTTAAAGGCACACCCTTCACACGACCCTGCTTCCTGCGTCTCCTTCACTGTTTTGTTTTTGAGATAGTCTTACTATGTGGCTCTGCTGGCCTGGAACTTGCTATGTAGACCAGGCTGGCCTCAACTCAGAAATCCACCTACCTCTGCCTCCTGAGTGCTGAGATTAAAGGCCTGAGCACACACCTGGCAATTTCTTCACTTTAGATGAAGAGTTGCAAAGTAGCACTTGGTATCCCTTTAGGTGATTGGTGGGGGTGGGGAGCTTGCCATGGAGACTGAATTTTGGAAAATGGAAGATGGAAATGATGACATTTTCCAATCAGACATCAAGCTCACTGACAAGAATATCTTCTATTTGTCACTTTCTGGAACTCCACATGCAGAGAACTGCTTTTCTAAAATGCTTGCACAATCTCCTAGGTGGTCTGCGTCTACTCTGGCCACTCTTCTTCTTTCTCTTTACCCAGGAGCCAATCACTCTCACACACCTACGTCAAACATGCTGCCCCTCTGCTCAGCTGCAGATGGGCTCCCAACTCAGGGTCACAGCCATGTCACCTCCTCCCTCTTGACCCCAGTCTACCCAGTCTAAAGGTTCCCCCCCACCACATACACACACACACACACCCTCCAATGTAGAGCCTTAGACTATGTCCTGTCCTCTGCAGAGGTCATCCCTAAGCTGCATTTCCCTGCTCCAGGTTTTCACTAAAACATTACACTTTCTAGTCACCTGTCCCTTTTAATTACTTCATGGCATCAGCATGACGTGACATTAGAGTCAAGCTAAAGCTCTAGTACCCAGCACACTACTATACACAGAGCAGGCATTCTGAATTTGTTAAATGTAGAGCCTAGTCATTCTCAATTTACAGGCCTCCACCATGGTGTGGCAGAGCATGGAAGAATCCAAAGAACCTTTTTCGGGACAGTCAAGGAGACATGCCACAGACCTTCCAGACAGAAGGGAGAGGATGCTGGATACTGGATACTGGAGAGATAGCCCAGCAGTTAGGAGAACCTGTTGCTCTTGCAAAGGACCCATGCTCAATTCCCAGCATGTACATGGTGGCTCACAACCATCTTTAACAGCACTTGCAGAGGATCATATGCCCTCTTTTGTGATTTGTAGGCACCAGGCACTGCATACAGTATACATATATACATGCAGGCAAAACACTCATACACAAGATAATCTTAACACAACAACAATGGGAGCGGTAGTGGTGGTGCACCCCTTTAATCCCAGTACTCAGGAGACAGAGGCAGGCAGAGCTCTCTGAGTTTGAGGCCAGCCGGTCTACAGAGCAAGCTCCAGGATAGCCTGGGTTACACAGAGAAGCCCTGTCTTGAAAAAAAAGGAAGAAAAAGTTCCCCATCTTACCAACTTCTCCCATCACTCGTAATCCCTCTTGATAGTTGGGGCCACCCCTTCGGACAAAGATTGTGACCTCATGCTCCTTCAGAGGACCCTGGTAATCTCTAATTGCTCTCACAATGCCCTAAAGAAAGCCAAAGAACATCAGAGACATATGATTAGAACAAGCCAGCCACAATCAATTTACAACCACAATAAACAAATGTACAGGTGTACGTGAAAACAGCCACTTCTCACATAGCACAGCAGGTCCTAGTGGTCAAGGACAAAGAGCATGATACACACAACTGAGTGAACTGAGAAACTGCAGGCCCAACGTGTGGCCACTTGTGTTGAGGAATGACCACGGAGTCGCCAAGAACCAACCATACTCCTCAAGACTATGGCACACTCGAATGCCAACAACAGTGTTTCCAGGTCCCTCTGGCTGCAGTCATTCTTATATCTTACTGCAGTTGGGGTGGGAGGACTATGTTAGGATCCTATGCAAGGCTTCTCAGTTATGAAGCTATGGTCTTCCTTAATGTTAAAAGCCACCAAATAGCTCTTACGATGGAAAATGAGAGGCTGCACTTCTCCAAACAGAATGCTGACTTCAATTCTAGCATCTATCACCAAAACCATGTCACAGGGATGTTACTTTCAAGCTGGACACTATTATTCTCAAGACATATATGGGATGACCACATGTAGCATGCCTCTGAAAAGCTGCATTGAGCACCATGACATGAAATAATGAGCAGCCCGCTGAGAGGCTGGCCTGAAGGGGTGACTGCCGAGAAATGTTAGCTCTGTCATATTTGTGGACTAGAGTCCTGTTAATTTAAAAGCATGGTCCCAAGGTCCAAACTCACGGCCATGCATAGGGACATAGACTCAGAGGACTCTGGCTGGGTGAGGTCATCAGAAGCTGTCCTTATCCCAACGTTTTAGATCAGGGACTGGTGACTGACTGAGACCTGTAACTAACTGCACAGAACCCAGCGAATCAGCTCTAAGAAATGAGGACAATCACACCCAGCCTGAGAACTAGTTTTGAGATGAGAGGGCAAGCCTTCAACTTCCCCCTCTGCTGCAGATGGGAGAGTCATTTTCCAGCAAGTGTGACTGTAGAGACACATAGCTTTAGATCCACATCCCCTGTCTTCTGCTTCCTCCACAAGGACCGTAGGACAGGGGTTAATCTCCAACACCAAAAACAGACAGACCCTAGGTCACAACTCCTTAATCAGACCAAGGCAACGCACAAGAACTTGCCTCAGGCTCAAACTCTGCTACCCCCAAGCCCATTTTCCCCAGAGACTGCAGCTACTACTACTCAAAGTTAGTTACCTTGAAGGTGGCAGCCACATTGGTGAAGTTTGCGATGCTGCCTCCAATGATGAGGATCTTGCCTGGATTGGGAATAAAAACAAAGTAACACAAAGTTAGAGAGATGAAAGACTTGAGCTTAGCCCCAGCAATTAACTGAGGACATTCTGACTCCTCTTAGCAAAGATGCTCTAACTGGAAGGGGTACAGGGAGCAAGCAGGATATCTCCCCATATAGCCACTCAGCTTTATCAGCTCAGCTCCCCACTACCCCCATGACCCAGTGGTGATTGCTCAGACCTGCAGTCTTACTGCCTGCTGCTACCCAGAAGTCCAGCTTGGAGTCTTGATACCTCTGGTGGGAATCTTACTTTTTGTTTTGTTTTGTTTTTTTGTTTTTCAAGACAGTGTTTCTCTGTGTAGCTTTGGAGCCTTTCCTGGCACTTGCTCTGGAGACCAGGCTGGCCTCAAACTCACAGAGATCTGCCTGCCTCTGCCTCCCGAGTGCTGGGATTAAAGGCGTGTGCAACCAACGCCCGGCCCTGGAATCTTACTTTTTTCTCTCTCTTTTTTGGTTTTTCGAGACAGGGTTTCTCTGTGTAACAGCCCTAGCTGTCCTGGAACTAGCTCTGTAGACCAGACTGGTCTGGAACTCACAGAGATCCACCTGGATCTGCCTCCCAAGTGCTGGAACTAAAGGAGGCATGTGCCACCACTGCCCGGCTCCTTCCTCTCTCTCTTAAATGGAACTGGTATATATATATCCCTAAAACTGGGAAGGTGGGATAGGGACACTGGGGGGTCACAAAGCCTGGTAAGCTGGAAGACATCACTAAGCTACAAGTTTACATTCATCACAGCAAAAGCATGCCACAGCCTTCCCCCGCCTCCCTATTCATACACAAGGTAACGCCGTATACTCTCCATGCCCATCATGAGCACCTCTGAAGGATGTTGCCAGTGTCCACTAGCACTGCAAAAAGAGACCCCCAAAATTAAATGCCTAGTCCCAAGTTGCAAAGGACCATGGCCTCAGTGATTCCTAGCACCAATCTGTCCCACACATTGTGCCACACCAGAGCGTGTATGTACAGCCCCATGCACTCCTGCCAGTGCCTCACCATCTGGGTGCTTCTCTCGAGTCATAAGTGAGAGGATGGTCTTAGCATAGTCATAGGTCTGCTGTTCACTGGGAGCACCCGAGTACTCCCCGTAATTCGCCAGCTCATTGACACCTCCAAGATCACAGATGGTATCACTGTCAGAGAGACACAGAACTCAGCGCTTGTTCAGGGCAGGAGTCAAACCTGTACAAAACTGTCCATCATTCCCACAAGCATGGAAGGCAGCCTGTAGAACTGGCCTCGCAGACCTATAACCTTCAACCCCCACACAAGCCTCACTTAAAGGTCGATGTGCCATGAGCCTCTCCTGGGCAGAGCACTTCGCCAGCCTTAGGGCACCAAGGTCTGGGCAGACAGCGTGGGTAAAATGAACAATGAGCAGTTGCCTCACATGGCCCAAAGACACAAGAACTAGTATGCTGCAGGAGTCCTCAAGGAGCAAACGGCAGTAGCCAGAGCAGCAGGAGGACTGTGGCAGATCACACATCTACTTAACTCCCAAGAAAAAACAACTGCCAGTTGTTCAAAAGAGAATAGAACATGGTCCTAGTATTTCTATAAAGTGAAAGAGTGCAAACGTTTACCCAGGCATTAAAATGCCCACGGAGGGCAGAGTAAGGTGTTCTCAGGGGGACCCTGTGAGGAATGGGTGAGCAGCTTTTGCTTTCTAGTGTTACTTTTCTATTAGGCACACACCATCAATTACAAGAACTAAAACCATAAAATGCAATCATTTTGAATTAAATAAGGTTTAATTCAAACCTGCCCTGTGTGCAGGGCAGGTGACCTCAGAGCCACTTGGAATACTCAAGGATGTCATTGCTTTATCTGTTCAGTAAGTTCATTGACCACAGACAGGTGACAAACTAGAGTCCAGGCAATTCACGTATGGTCAGTGTGGGTGGACCTCGCTGGCAGCCAACTGCACCCCTCTTTCTTGTTACCTGTACACAACGGAGGCGCCACCCCCAGCAACCATGGTCCAGATCCGCCCCTTGGGGTTCAGCAAGGTCAGCTTCAAGCTTGCCCCACTTTTGGCATCCAGGTCGGCAATGTAGGCTTCCTGGGGAACAGATAACCACAGGTGGCCTTTTGGGCACCCCCTTCACAAGGTCCCCAACCCCAAGACCACAGCTCTCTATCTGAAGGCATATTAAAGGCATATTCAATCACTACAGTGGGGGGGAGGGAATGGGGAACTATAAGGCTCCAAGCCTGGGACAGAATATGATAGTACTTTTAAAGAATCAAAGCTGCCTACATCCTGGAAACAAACTTCTCAGCTCATCCCCTGACTTCAAGTCCAGACCCCACTATGTCCTGCTGCCTCTGTCACACTCTCCACACCAGCTCCTACCCTTAGTTCACCCCACATCCTCGTCCACTCCCCAGCCCCCTTCCTTCCTCCAGCCTGGCTAGATGACTTCACAGAAAGCCTTCTCCTGCTGGGAGGACTTCTCAAAGGATGGGGTGGGGAGCAGCAATTAAAATTCTCAGCGAGTGGCCAGGAGAAGAACCTTCCCATCATGGCTGGGAAGAGCCACTTGGAATTATCAAGAAGCAACAAATCAAGTGAAGAGCCCAGAGAGGCTGATTGAGAGTGATGCCTAAAAGGATTTCTGGCCAGGATTCAGAGGCTTGGCTGATTCCCATTCTGACCCCCCAACCTCACTGGGATTTTAAGAAAATTAAACGGTTCTCCATTTTTCTTTTCCTTGCCAAATACAGAGCCAAGCTGGGGACCAAAGGATTGCCTAGGACAAGTCACGCTGTCTCCAAGGCCCCACCACCCTCCATCTCCTCTCCAAACCTGCCTCACCTCTGGATACGCCTCACGCCCAAATGGGGGAGGGAACTCTATATCACCCCACTTCACTTTGCAGATGTAGTCAGCCGTGGCATCCACCTTGGCTGCCAGGTCAAGGATGTAGACACCATCTTTGGTCACCACTAGGAGAAAAGTCAAAGTAGTCAGACACCAACTTTTTGGTGAGGCAACCATCAGCCTCCAAACCATCCCTCCAGACTCCTCCAGGTGCAGCCCACGTACTCTCACACATGCCTAACAACCGTAAAACAGACTCTCAGAACATTCCCCACTCACTGACCTTCAGGTAGCAAGTTTTGACATCTTCATAAAATGCCATACTCCCTGCCTTAAATATTCAAGTGTTGGCCTATCCATATCCTGCCATTATGCAAAACAAAACAAAACAAACAAAACCTGCTTGCTAGAGTTGGTAGAACATGGAGAGAACCTAGGTTCAATCCCTTATACCAAATAATATATTGAAAAATAAAGGGTGGGGCTGGAGAGATGGCTCAGTGGTTAAGAGCACTGACTGTTCTTCCAGATGATCTGGGTTCAATTCCCAGCACCCACATGGTGGTTCACAACTGTCTGTAACTACAGTTCCTGACACCCTCACACAGACATACATGCAGGCAAAACACCAGTGCAAATAAAATAAAATAAAAAGGGGCTGATGAGAAGGATCAGTGGCTTGGCAGTGAACAGAGCCTGCTGTTCTTCTAGAGGACATGAGTTCAAGACCTAGAACCCATGTAGGGCAGTTCACAAGTGCCTGTAACTCCAGCCATCAGACACACTCTTTCTGGTCACCCCAGGCACACAGACACACAGATGTATACTCAAATAAAGGTTTTTTTAATGTTTAAAATTAATTTAAATAAACAATAAAAACTGTTGGAGAAGATAATGGGAGCATTGGAAAAACAGGAAGACCAGAAGTTCAAAGTCCTCCTCAGTTATATAGTGAGTTTGAAGCTAGTGTGGACTAGACTAGACTGTACCTCAAAACAACAACAAAACCACCACCCAAAACAACAGAAAACCCTGTGTCGGTCTAGGTCTTAGGTTCAAACCCCAGTACCACCACCGCTACCACACACTCACAGGCATCCATGCACCACTGTTACCACACACTCACACACATCCATGCACCACTGTTACCACACACTCACACGCATCCATGCACCACTGTTACCACACACTCACACGCATCCATGCACCACTGTTACCAGACACCCACACGCATCCATGCACCACTGTTATCACACACTCACACGCATCCATGCACCACTGCTACCACACACCCACACGCATCCATGCACCACTGTTACCACACACTCACACGCATCCATGCAGCACTGCTACTCACACACCCACACGCATTCATGTGCCACTGATGTCAGAAGCCCCAGGGATATATATACATCTGGGGCTTCTGTGGTCTATCTAGGGAAGTCTCAGTGTTTGGTGCAAAGTACCCCAGAGTGCTCTGGGCCCCAGGCCAGCATATTCATCTGCAATGCCTCACTAAGCATTCCTATTTCTTCTCAGGCCATTTAGCTAATTAAGTTAGCACACAGCCATCTGGCCCACTAGAGGGGCTGCATCCTCAGCTAGAATTTGGTAATTCCCCTCTTCTTGGACTCTGCCCCGAGAGGGCTAGCCAGAATCTGCCAGGCCATCTGCCTTCTTCACAGCTTGAGAGCCTGTAGCCAGCTCTTCTTGGTGTTAGGGCTAGTAAATGATTGACCAACTCCCTGAGAAGGAGGGCTAGTGAGGCCTCCCAGGGTACAGGGAGGATTAGACCAGAGCCTGGGAAGCCTAACCTACAGACAGGAACAACAACCCAAGGGACAGACCAAAGCCAGGGCTCCCCCAGAGCAGGACAAATTAAGGCCAAAAGAGAAGTTGATGTTGGTTAAGATGAATAAATCATAGTCTGGGTACTGAGAAAAGGAGATGGCACTGAAGACCACTCCTTTATGGGGACGCCTTGAGCACCCACAGAAGTTTTGTACTGCCTTCTGGTCTGAGCGCCCAGGCTCTCTGAACACCAAAGCCAGGGTTACTGTAGACATGGGGGCCCATCCCCATTCCATCCCAGCAAACAAAGCTTGTTACCAAGGGGGTTGATCTCAAGGTAGGTAAAGTACAGATCCTCGTAGAAATTGAACAGGCCAGAGATGAAGCTGGCCAGGATTCTAGAAGGGAAAGGGAAAGAGGGCCTGTTAACCCATCAGTCAGGACGCCGTTCCCACCCCCTCTGCTACAGCAATCTCACTGCCACTGACAGCCCAGCACCACTTCTCCTCTCCTGACCCTTTGGCCTCCACTGTCCTCTGCCAGCCCTGCTTCCTTGGATGTCACTCCTCAGACTCTGAAGCGGAAAGAAGCTGTCAAGCTCAGAGCTGGAGGAGGCGCCAGACAGACAGGGGCAAGGAGGTGAGGGATGAGGCTGGCATACTGCAGACTGATTTCAAGCCAGCGCCCTCCCGAACACGTGGCTCCCTTCCTGAGGACAAAGCTGTACCACCACCTGCTCCCAAGCAGGGAGGCCCACTGTACTTCCTCTCTCCTGTACCCAGAACCCAGTGCACTGGTCTCCCATGTCATACCGGGCTTCTTGTCCCTAGCCGTGCCCACACATCCCTCTCAGAACTCAACTCTTTCTTGTCTTCAGGGGCGTGGACCAACAGGTGTCTCTTAATGTCCTCGGTGTTCAGCTTCTCATCCACACCTACAAGCAGCTTCTGGGCTTTTGCATCCACGTCTCCCACATCCACACCCCCTTCATGGTGGAATAGGACGTAGTCTCCTTCCCGAGTAGCATAGATGCACACATAGAACTCCTCCGCCTTGCAAGTAAAGACAGCATGAAGTCGTGAGGGCACTAAACTGGCAGGTCAGAAGGCCTCACCCCAGGAATGGAACCCAACCCCTGTGGCCTCATTTCTAAATCCCAATACAAAGTGCTCCCCAAGGGGAAATGTTTGCCACCTTCTGCTAGGGGATAAGAAAAGAAAAGGCAGCCAGGCGGTGGTGGCACATGCCTTTATTCCCAGCACAGAGAAGCAGGAGGATCTCCGTGAGTTCGAGGCCAGCCTGGTCTACAGAGTGAGTTCCTAGAGGTCCTGCCTTCAAGTCCTTCTCATGCCAACATTAGGAAGTCCCCTCTGTTACCTGCTCTCATTCCGTTTTACTGCAAAAGCCTTTCTTTCATTCTCAGATTCCTTATTCATAATTTCCTCCAGGCCTTTGCTGGGGCTTTGGAGACCCTGGACTCCTTGGCTATTCCCCCAGGCACCTCAGTCTTTCCTGTCGTCATTTTAGGAGGGTAACCCTTACAAAGCTGAAGGAGGAAGAAGATCCAGCTCAGCAGCGCCTCACATACCTGACTGTGGGGGACGAAAGGTTCAATCAGAAAGTTCTTGAGGAAGCCTTTGGCTTTGCCGACCTACAGAGACAGTGGGGAAGATGCAGCTTAGATGCATGATGTATTCTTCACAAAGGCGCAGCCCCAGCACTACCACCCACGTGGCAGAGAGACTTCTCCACAAGTCAGGACAATGAGGTCATAGACAAAAGTTCTCAGGAGATTCCCTCTTGACATTCTTACTTATGTTTGGGGAGGGGGGCAGGAATATGTGCCTGGCGTGATGAGCATGTGGAGATCAGAGGATAACTCAGATCTCCCTCTACCGTGTGGATCCCAAGAAACAAACACAGGTCATCCACCTGGTGGCAGGTTCCTTACCCACTGATCAATCTCACTGGCTCAGGCAGTCAAGGAGGGAGATGGGGACTTGGGTATAATGGTGCTGGCACACTACTTTGCCCTGTGGTAGACACAGTGACCCAGCCTGAGGACATGAGTCCAGGCTTGAGGGGCAGGGGAGAGGAGAGCCAGAGGCTGATTAGGGAAAACTTTCCCTCCTGTGTTTCCTGGCTGAAGACAACAGGCCTGCAGAGCTAATCAGCTTGAGTGGGTCCCTGGCGGCGGCAGAGGCGAGACAGCCCTCATCCTCTGAAACCCCCGCCTGCCCGCCTGTGCGTCATTGCTGAGTCAGGGACCAGACAGTGATCCATCAGAGGTAATGAGCCGCTCCAGCCAGGTCCCACACTGCTGCCAGCTCAGATGTCCACATCTCCCTCCCTCCCGTCAGTACACTAGGAAGGGAGCACGATGTGCTTGCTCCCTGGGGACACTGTTCAGTGCCCAGCCCAACCACACTCTCCTCAGAGGCCTGGGAACTCAGAGGTCAGATCCCCCTACTCCTGGACCCATGAGCAGCTCCAAAGATCCATTTTTACCTTTAAGGACCAGAGCCTAGGAAACAGTGACAGCTGCTTTGAGCAAGCCCAACATGTAGGAAGGTGTGTCTGATGCCACCTCCCCAGGGTAGCCAAAGAAAAGAACATCTCTTCCTGCCCTGTGCCTATGCTACAGGGGCACCAAGCAGATACAGACACACATCCTCCCCAGGCTAAGCCAAGCTTCAGACGCCCCCACCCCCACCTCCTTCCCACCTTACTTGGAGAATGAGGAGAAGAAACAGTTTTGTCACCGAGCATTGCTTAGCTTCCTAAGCCACATTTCATTCTAGCTCTCATCCTCATAGCTGACAGTAATCACTGAGCTGGGAGAACTGAGCTTCCTCTTCAGCATTAATAACTGTCTTCGTCCATGGCTCTCCACCCAGCATATTTCTCTTGCCTAATAATTCTGCGGCTCCCCGCTTCATCTTGTTTTAATCCACCTTCTTTGTATGCATGTCATCCTCAACTCCCACAACTTTATTTGGAAACCAAGCAGTTATTTGGAGAGCAAGCAGTTCCCAGAAGAGCCTGAGTCCTATCTCCAGGCTAGTGATCAGTTTCTGGCTCCCTAATTGTTGTGGGTTACAACTACAGTGCATCTTATATAAAGCACTATCAATGGATTAACTTCCTAATGAGGGAGCTGGGAATGACCACCAAGACTGAGTTGCAGCCAGGGCTGTCCCACACTCCATCCTTCTCCAATGCTATGGGACTGGTTGGGTTGTGAGCTATTGGTTGGTTATATGGAGGTTACCATACTGTTACCACCCTGACCCCTACACCAAGACTTACGGTGGCCTCATGTCCCAGTCGAGGTTTTAGCCAGGATTTGACTCCATCCAGTGTGAGGTTGACCCCAACTAGGCCAAGCTTTCCTCGACGTTTGATCAGCTGGTCTGGCTTAACTACCAAGCTCTGGAATGAAAAGGGTTGGAACTTACCGTGAGAAAGGAAGAGGTAGTATAGGAAATGAAGTTGTAAGGCTTTTCATCACCCTGCTTCCAACTAATTCATTTATCTATCAGGACCACTTTCCTGTCCTGGAGCTTTTCCTCACCTACCCCAGCCAAATCTTTTGACCAAGAGACCTCCAGGATGAGCCTGGCACAGATTATAGATGCTCAGTGAAAGCCTATGAGTGATCTACTTTCTCCATGTCTGAGCCAGCCAAAGGAGTCTAAGGGTACGAGGCCCCGCATCTTTATTTTTATGTGTACGTACGAGTGCTCTGCCTGTACATATGAGGAAGAGGACATTAGATCACCTGGACCTGCAGTTACAGATAATTGTGAGCTGCCATGTGGATGCTGGGAACCAAGCCCAGGTTCTTCTACAAGAGGAGCTCTTGATCTTCATGGCTGAGCCATCTCTCTAGCCTCAAGGCCCCACTTCTTTTTTGTTTGTTTGGGGTTTTTTGTTTTGTTTTTTGTTTTTTCCAAGACATTTTTTGTGTGACAGCCCTGGCTGGCCTGGACTTGCTCTGTAGACCAGGCTGGCCTTGAACTCACAGAGATCC